AATAATTAAAATACATTCAAATCATGAATATTGCACTAATTTTTCATAATATCCTAAGCTGCAAGCAATAGCTCACATTTTTTCTGAAACAAATAGCTCTCTTAGCTAACAAAATTTTTTATATGAAATAAGTCGAATCGGATATAAGTTTAACAACTTTTACAAATTAAATACTCCCTCCATTCCATATTAGCTTAAGTTTTTAGCTCTTGTTCATTTTTCAAATTAACTTAAGTTTCCAATCTTCAAGAATATTTTTAAAATATTCTTCCAATTTTACCTTTTAAGTTAGTATTGAAATTAGTTATTACAATTAATGTTTAGTTATTTTTGACAATAATTAATAAAGGTAAAAATGAAAAATTATGTTCAATTTATGTCCTAACCTACTTTTCTTAAAAGATGTAAAACACCTCAAAGCTTAAGTTAATATAGAATGGAGGGAGTATAACTTTAATAACAAGCATAAACTCCTCTTGCACTTTAGAAAACACTCATGGCTGACTCATGCAAATGTATCTTATTTAGGTTATTGTTCAAATTGTACGTATTTTATTAAAAGTTCTGTAAATATAAATTTTGAGATTATTATTCCGAATAATGTTAGATTCAATTCAATATTTTCTAATATATTGTTTAACCTTATAGATAGTCTAATATTCGTATAACTTGTAAATTTTTAGTACGAGCTTAAGTATTCTTTTAAAAAATAAATAAACGGGGGATATAACAGTGTCCCAATATAGTGTTTTCTTTTAACATTTTCAATTTGCTTTAAAAAAAAGATTATTCTCCTTTATTTTGAACTGTAATTATCGGTACTTGACGATAAAGTTTGGGGCAACATTCCGACTATAACTACTGATACTCCCTATAGTTTGAAATAATTACATTTTACTTAACTATTTAACAACTCCATACTAGATTTTAAGTTGGATACATGTGAATCACACTATAGATACACTTTATACATATATTTGGTGTGATTCGCATGTATCCAAGATACCAGATACGCGAGCGAGATATGAGAGTGACGAGCAAAATGGTAGGGAAACAAGCGAGATTTTTCTATGTATCTTAGATTCATACGAATCACACTATATACATGTATTTATGATACCAGAAACGCGAGCGAGATATGAGAGTGACAAGCGAGATGAGAGAAAGACAAACAAGATTTGTCTATGTATCTTAGATACATGTGAATCACACTATATACATGTATATGAGATTACAAATATGCGAGCGAGAGATAAGAGTAGCGATGATATGGGAGGGAGGCAAACATGATTTTTGTCTATGTATCCAAATACATGTGAATCCAATTGAATACAATGTATCTTGAACAAATTACACATAATTTTGACCAAGACACATGTATCTTGACGCATCAAAACATGGTAAGATTCATAATATTATAAAGAACAACTTTCACATATGGCAAACAAAAAAATCATATTTGTATGCTATAACAAAGTTTGCATAATTGCGCTCCATATCAAACATATATATGTATAATTCGCTATACATATACAATTGAAAGCTATGCCTATTTCGCTATACATATATACAAAAAAAAGAAATTGTATAATTCGTTGGCTCCTCTTCAGATTTGTATAATTTCGCTAGCAGGCCATTTGTATAAATTGTTGTTAGCCTCTCGTTTGTATAATTCGTTGACAAAAATATTTGTATATAAAAAATCGCTCTCTCTTTCGCTTTATACAAACATAATTTATACATTATACAAACATAAATTATACATTATATTTGTATAATTTGTGTTTGTATAAAACGAGAAAGGCAAAAGAGAACTGGCAAGAGAATATTTGTATTGTATAATTATAAGTCTATAAAACGAATATATATGTATTTGCATGTGTATATACAATTTTCTTTAGCTTTATACAAACATAAATTATACATTATACAAACATAATTGTACATTATATTGTATAATCCGTGTTTGCATAAAACGAGAAAGAGAGAAAAGCAAAAGAGAACTGGGCAGGGGAATATTTTTATTGTATAATTATAAGTGTATAGGACAAATATATATGTATTTGCATGTGTATATATAATTTTCTCTCGCTTTATACAAACAGAAACGCAATTTATATAATTTTGTTGTATAAAGCGAGAGAGGCGAGCATAGAGGGAGCGAGCGAGAAAGGGAGAATAACAAGCGAGAATTTGTAGGGAGAGAGGCGACTGGCAAACGTTTGCTACGGGGCGCAATTAAATCAAACAGTAGCTACTCCATTTATTTTAGATTATGTTTGTCATTCTGTACAATTATCCCTATTAAAAATGTAGTGTGTATCTAAATAATTAGGAAAAATTAGCAATTAAGTCATAATAGCTAACATAATTAGTCAAAATAACAACACTTTAAAATATTTATTTAAAATGGCAGAATGACAATATTTTTATAAAATAACATGTATTCAGATTTTAGTATTTAAAATTAATTTTATTTATGGAAAGAGTCCTATATTGGACCAAATTATATACCAATAACCGTTTAAAGAAAAAAAAATTAAACCAATACACATTAACCTTTTTTCAACTCCATTCACGTTTCTTCCCCACCTTTCATGTTTCAAGTTTATCTTTCTTCAAGGTGCTAAATTGTTGTTCATCAAGAAATCTTCTTTATTGTTAAATGAAATCTATTTATTAATTCAAGCAGATTTATCGATTGACAAGGTAATTTCCATTATCCATTTTGATTTGATGTTTAAATCACCGATTCTATATATTACGGATTTTCAGTCGAATTTTTCAATTTTTATGTGATTTTGTTTAGTTATTCATCAAATAGCTAAGATTTTCAATTTTTTTCAATTTTTTTTGTGATTTTCTTTTAATTTTTCAGATTTTGGAGAATCTAGAAATTCATATGTATGTTTATTCTGTTTGATATTTAATACATTCTAATTTTTGATAATTTCAAAATTCAAATTATCAAAAATTTTGTCTTCATATTTGAGATTTAGTAGATTGTAGTAACTATATTAGTACACATACATCATATATTGTTTGACTTTTTTATACATTCATATTTAATAATTTTGAATTTTGCTTATAGGGTTACTAATACACAAGTGAATACGGATTCAGATTCGGTTTTGATGGGAAAAAAATCGGAAAAAAGAACATAGTAGATGAAGAAGAAGAAAGATAAAGTCAAAGAAGAAGGTTACAAAATTGTATTCATACCACAGCTGTATTCCTATTAATTTTTGTTTGTCAATTGTTTTTCTTTTACTCATCATTTGTATTTTTATTTTAAAACATTGTATTTCTTTTTTAATTTGTAGTAATTTAAATAGGTATATAATGTATTCATCACAATTCTATATCTTATGATTGAATACATAATTTATATAATTGTGACGAATACATTATAAGAAGGGAAATGGAAACTTATTGGTATTCATTTTTTCGTTTGAAATACAAAATCATACTGAAATACAACCTGATATTTGAAATACAAACTTAGTAAGACATATTTTGTATTTTATTTGGCTAAAGCAATATAATTTTATGAATACATAATATATAAAATTGTGCGACGAATACATCACAAGAAGGGGAATACAAAATTATTGGTATTCATTCTGCGTTTGATATACAAAATGATATTGAAATACAACATGATATTTGAAATAAAAACTAAGCTATAAAATACTTTCTGCAAATTTAAAGTGAAATAATAATATAACAAAATTGGATATTGAAATATAAATACAATTTATTTTGAATAAACTTATTCTATGTATTATATATGTATTCATCGCAATTGTATTTTTCAATATCATTTTGATCTACAACTAATTTATATTTTGGTATATACTACACAACTGCCTTTATTTTTGTACTTGAACTAGAATGCCAAAGAGTTGTATTCATAATAAATCAATACCAACATTTTTTGTATTTTAAATTAGTTATACATATCATTAGGTATTCGAATACATTTCGGATGAACACATATTCAAAGAAGTTCAAACATTTAAATATCCAAAACAGAGGGCATTAGAAATTTTCCAACACTTCCACTCATATAAGATATAAAATACAAGCTACTGTTTTTTTTAAAAAAAATGAAATTCTTAAGAACAAAGAAAAAAAGCTAGAAAGAAAAATGGCAACATATGCTTTTTCAAAAACGTAACTGATGTTAAATTTAAAATTTTTTTTACCTTTTTTGAAATTTTTTGTTCCATGATTTTCTCTATTCAGTTATTAATTATTTGTATTCTTTCAAATTAATCAAAATAAAATAAATACATAACTCAATTCTTAACAAACTAAAATATTGACATTTTAAATAAATAGTGAAACTATTGCTAAGGAGTCCCATTAAAAGCTAAAATATTGCTATTTTGAAAATTTTCCCAAATAATTAACTCCTAAACGAATAAAATTTTTGTAAGTTACCCATAAAATTGCTAAGTAATTACCCAAAAACAAGCCCATTTGGAAATAGAATTGGCCCATAAAATGATGGGTAGAAGCCCAATCCTATTACCCACCTATAAGCACGATAAAAACGGATTGTTGGTGAACAATTAAGAGAACGTCCAAACACGTGTCAAGGTGTGGTAGGTCCTTCAAGTCTACTTTTTCTTTTTCCGTAAGTCTACTTTAACGTTACAAACCGACGACCTTGATAAAAAGCTCCCACGAATAAAGGAAAATTATTTTTTTTATTAAAAATAAAAAACCAAAAAGCGTGGGGCACGTGACGGAAGATGCACCTCCCGTTAGAGTCGTGATTGTAACAGTACAAATACGATGTCGTACCCTCATCCACTAAACGGTAAGAAAGTTAAATAAATTACAGAAAATGACAAAATTAAATTTCATTTTAGATAAATTTCATGTGCATTTACATTTACGTCCAACGTCCCACACATGAGAATCGGATCAACACCTTATCCGTGTCCCACTTTTTCTATAAATACTCTTTCATACTCTCCCCATTTATTTGCTTCACTACAGGCATAGCGCTGAAAAAGTCTCAGAGAGAGAAAGCGAGTGAGTGAGAGAGAAGGAGAAAGAGGAGGGAAGAGCTTGTTAGGTGTTCTTCATTTCGGGTTCATCGTAAGTTTCTTATTTTTGCTCTGTTTTTTTAATGATTTTTTGGTGTAGTATTGTTTGATTTTGCCTGAGAATTAGGTAGTTGTTATTTTTATCGCTTTTTTCGATAATTCTGTTGTAGTTCTTCAGATTTGGTTGTAATGCTAACGTAAATGGTTGTGTGAGAGGAAATTCTGTATGTTTGAGCTGAAATTGGATTTTTTTACTGTTCATTTTGCCCTTGTTTGGTCAGTTTTGTACAGGATCTTTTGTTTTAGGTGCAATTTTAGGGATTTTTTTCGGTCGAAATTTTTTTAGGTGGAAAACGAAGGAATTCACCTAACCTAATAAAGAAATTCTTTTATGAAATACTTGTAAACAAACAATATTTCACTTATACGAAACAACAATGTAATTAGATTTGCTCTAGATGTGTAAATCAACAGAGCTAAGATTTGTTGCCAGTTAATTGTTAGTTTTCTGGTGCTGTTGACTGTTAATATACTACACGCCTTTCCCTTTCCATGTGAAGTTCTAACACCCTTCGGGTGAACGACTCCAGCTTGGGGGTGGGGGTAGGAATAGAGTTGGCAATTGGGTAGGTTGGCTCAAATTTGGGTGGGTCAAAACAACAAACGGGTCAAGATCCAATCCAATCTTGGGTTGGGCCAAAATAACAAACGGGTCAAGACATTGGGCTGGGTCCAAACGGGTCAAGTAATGGATCATAACCCAACCCGCACAATTTTTACCAAGTTTTAATTGTTCTTTCTAAAAATTTTAATACATAATAATTTACTTATTTTAATCATGGCTATGTATAATATATCAAATTAAGAATAAAGTCTTCTGAAAATATTTTGACAAGATTTTTCATTAGTCAATTTTGGCTACATATGAACCCAATTTTTAATGGGTCGGGCTGAAATGGGTTAAACTAATAAATGGGCGGGTTATTTGAAGTGGGTTGGTGGATGGGTTGGGTTTAATTTTGCCACCCCCTTAGGTAGGAAGCTTGTTTTGAGTCTCCACTAGCAATTGCTCGAGTACTTTAAAGATAAGCTTTTTTATTTTATGTTTCTTTACTGAGGTTTGCTTAGTCACCTAAATATTGCTGTTCAGTTTCCATAGGAAAATATTTTAAGATGGTTTTAGTCCTTTGAAACAAATAATTATATTCCGTGATCCACCCACCAATCTTGACGGATCTTGTTTGTCAAGTCTGCAGAGCATCCGGGGCAAGGCGAGTGGGGTGTGGATATCTTCTCAAACTCAAGTTTTTTGATTAACTGAACAATGGAGGTACTTGGAAAATCTATGGTAGCAGTGCCTACAAATGTTATATATCTGTCAACTATTCTTGGCCAAGATGGCCCAAACCCTGTTCACAAGTGTGATTGGAAATGTGAAAATGAACATGTGTGTGGGAACATGTTCCGCTGCCGTCTAACTGGGCTGACACACATTTGTGACAAAAACTGTAACCAGCGAATTTTGTATGATAACCATAACTCTCTTTGCAGAGTTAGCAGACAGATTTTCCCTTTAACACAAGTTGAAGTGCAGGCTGTGAAAGGTGTACGGAGGAAGTTTGATGCTGATAGTTCCCCTTCTGATAGCTGCGCCTTTAAGCGCAGAAGGGATGCACATTTCCACCCATCACCATTTGAGAGATCTTTCACTGCTGTTAGTCCCATTTGCAGTCAAGTTGGAGAGGGCATGGACTTGAACTAGATATAATAAATTTCCATGCTTTCGTCTGTTTAATTTTACTTTCTTTTTGGACTGGATTAGGAACAATTTCATAATTTCCATGGCAGACTAGATTGTCTTGCCATTTTGTAGGAGGACTTATATTCTACAATCCTATGGACTGTAGCTCTTTATAACTGTTTAGGAGTAACAATATTATGTCTGCAAACGCTGATATGCGCCTGAGTTGATGTCACATGAAGGCTTTAACTATATATAGTGCAGCATTTTGTATAACCTCTATTTGGTTTCTGTCTAGTCACTTTATACTTAAGTGGTTACAATTATACCTTTTTGGGGTTGTCAAACATCTGTATTGGCTTGCTGGACTTATATGACTCTACTAATCACTGTGATCAACTCTGGGAGGTTTATTGGAATCCAGTCAGTGGAACTTTATACTTTGTTTCCTTTCCTACAGGAACTTGCCCTGTCAGATGAAGAACACACTTTTCAGTGAGCTCATTAAAGCTCACCTACTTTTTATGTCTTTAACTCCCTATTTCTTTGGCAGGTTTTGGAAGAAAGCACAGTTTTATTTCATACTGTTGCACTAGTCTATTCTTAATTCAGTTTGTATTTGCTTTTTGAATTTGTTCATGTAAAGTATCCTAAAATGGTTTTACTTTTGCAGGAACTCAAAAACATTTACAGTCAGGAGAGTTGAGATATAGCTTATTTTGTTGATGTTTAATCATCTGTCTTATTCATTACCAGCAGAATCTTGAGTTTCTAACTAAGTTTGTTCTTTCTTATTCAACAGATCCGCGCTCTTCCACGAGTTCTAGACTTCGAACAAATAGAATCAGCTATAAGCCTTGAACTCTTGAACAGGGATAGGTCTGGGGAAGAATCTAATAGCTGCCAAATCAATTGGTGTTTTGTATATCCACGCTGAAGTGTGCCTACCCTGCAGTAACATTGTGAGTAATACAGTCCAATATCATGTCTGATCATTTGAAAGCAAGGTCCTTTTCTTGGAGTCAGAAATCCGGTGTTTACTTCCACCTAGAAGTATCTGCTTTTTCTGATAGGGTTACCTGAAGAGGAATCTTTAGCAGCCAAATCAAGGGGTGCTGCTAAACCACTTAAAGTTACTAACCTGTTGTTCAATTTGCTCCTCTGTTATTGCAAAAGAAAGGATCCTTTTTTTTTTTTAAAGTGCTTGATGATGACCGAGAGGTGTCAAGACTTTCTGTGTTCTGAAAATTAGCGGCTCTTGTCATTTGTGCCTTGCTGCTGCTCATTTCGACTTCAACAGAAAAGCTACACTTGTTGTATGTTTCCCATTTTCTTTGTGCTTTGAATTCTAAATTGGCGCTCAATGCATCATTTGTTTATATGCCTGCTATCTTGCTACTTTTCAGGATGGCGAATTTTCAAAATGTATGACAATGACAATACAAAGTCAGTTTTACCACTTTCACAGCTTTGCACTTCCCACTGAAATGTCATTCTAGGAGAATGAGACCACTCGGAGAAGACATCTTTGTCAATTGTATATTTGGCAATGGAAGATCCGTTGCAACAAAGCTCCCTTGAAGGCTTCCTTTTTCACTTGGTTAATGAGTGGAAGCATGCCGTCACACAACCTAACCTACAAATAATCCGTGAAGACTTGCTTGTTTTGGAATAATATCATACCCCTTACCAGTCTCCATCGGTTGCTTGCAGTGTAGATTGAAAGAATACAACAGGAATTTATGTAGGCAAAACAAAAAACTTAGCCTTAAACATAGATGCATTTCTTTACTAGTTTTTTTGGTGCAAACTCAACATTGTACATAATGTAGATGCAATGAATGATCGGATTGGGGATTTGCAGTCTGTACCTATCCTTACAAGACTGGCTCACTGCAAACTTGCCATTTATAAGAAATTTCCCGAAAGGAGAATACATCTTTTTTCATATATTAGCTACTTTCTAGATCATCTGGTGATCTTATGCTGCTCTCATGTTTAAACATTTGCTGGTTTTTGATAGTTAAAAAAACAAAATACTCGACAGATGGATAATGGGAGTTCATCTACTATAATTGTGCTAGAGTCGAGATGTTTTGTTTAAGTTTGCTGGTTTTCTAAATTTTTCTCCTCTCTTTCAGTAAATTAGCAATATGTATATTTTTATTTCTGTTGATAGAGATGGTGAGTTGATTATGGTGCCAGTCCAAAACTACCTCCATTATAATTGGCTATTGGAATTTGGAGTTAGTTGGATCTGACAACATCCACTAAGTTACAGTGAAAGCAAAAAGAGAGGCCATTTATTTCAAAATCGAAAAAAATGGGAAAAGTCGTTCCTTCTCAACCTAACACACGAGCTTAGCTCCGTGAAAGCTATTTTCTCATTAAATAAAAGGAAGCTACCGTTGGTAAAGAAAATTAATTAAATAAACGTATAGACCGTGTCTGTGTACTAGCCCTTATGTTGGTTTTATTTTAGTAGGCGAAATGGTCTGATGACATTATACTTGTATGCGTTTGTATTATAAACCATTCACTCAACACTTTGTCATCTAAATTTTAAAATTTGTCTATATTTTAAATCTTTTTCTCATCAAATTACTGTGTGTGTAATCCAACCTCTTACACATATAATTCTATGTCATTTTTAATGACATGTAAGAAATTAAATATTAAAAAATTAATAAAATAGTCTGATCGACCCTTATATTTGTATGGATTTGTATTATGAACCCTCTTACTCTATACTTTGTCAACTGAACCCTTAAACTTATTAAAACACAATATTTGAAACTCATATGACCATTGATCAAACCTATGTGGCATAAATATTGCTGAGTTGGAAAAATATGGACTACACTCACTTAAAAACGCGTCAATACACTACATTCTATTCAAAAACATTATTTTTTTAGAAAAGAGAAAATGGTCAAATGACCCCCCAATCTATAATCGGATTTCCAACTACACACTTATACTTTACGGGGTCCTATTACCCCCCCCCCCCCCCCCCCCCGAGCTATTTTAAAGTGGAATTATTTCCTCCCTGAAATGGCATTACCAGGCATCTGTTTTGTGGTGAAATACACGCACTTGACACGTGTATTTCATCATTTAATGAATTTTTTTTTAAAAAAAAGTCTCCTCCTTCCTCTTTCTTTCTTCCCCAATCATTTCTTCAACCCTAACTATACTAAACACCATTTTTTACCTCAATAAAATTATATATCTCTAACATTTTATAAAAACGAAAATTCAACTCACCTTTTCATCTACTCTGAATCTCTAAAGTCTAGAAGATAGCGATCCTAATTAATCAAATCTTTCATCCAACTTATTCAACAAATTTCCACATTTTTTTACATTTCGTTCGATTTTCTTCCTTGACAATTTCAGATACACATTAAATGGGTCATGAACATTCGAGATCAAATTCATCCCTTAAAGATTTCGCCGACAACTCAAAATAATCGTCGATGAGAAGACCAATTTGTAACACCAATTTGAGAAACCTCTCTCTCTTCCCCATTCTTTATTATTTCTCCCTCTAAAATTTTCATGATTAATTTATAATTTGAGTTTTTGATTTTGATTCTTGATGGATTTTAGGAGAACATGTAGGATCCTTCTTTCAAAATGTAGAAGAAATTGTTTTGTTTTAGTTTCTTTTATTAAGTTTGAAAATATTTTTTAAATATACAATTACTTCACTTTGATTTTGTTACTCTTGAATCCATCACTTTAAAAAAAATTAATTAATGGGCATGTTTTTTTTAAAAAATAAATTTAATTTGTTAGATATGTTCTAAATAAGTTTATTGAAAAATTATTTATTCATTAAATGCATTGTTGTTGATAATTTTTATTTCAAACATCCATTGAAAAAGCTTCAACAATGATAATGATGAAAAATGTTGTATAGATAAATAAGAAGAAAGAGAAAGAAAATTAGAAAAAAACGAAAATTAAAAAAAATAAATAGGTAACTCACTCTCTCAAAGAGAGTGAAATACACTCTTCATGCCAACTCAGCACTTAAGTGTTATTTATTTCAGGGGGTAATAGAATTCTCGTGGAGAATAAGTGTATAGTTGAAAATCCGGTAATAGGTTGGGGGGTCATTTGACAATTTTCTCTTTAGAAAACAATTTTTTTAAAATTAAAAAAAATCATTTCTTCATTAACCCTCCCCCCCCCCCCACCCCCCACCCCAATTTCTCTTCTTTTTCGTCACACTTCCCACCCATAACCCTAAACTTTCTTCTCTTCTTCTTGAACAAAATCACCCACTACATTCGTTACCTTTTATTTCTTTGAAATCACCTGTCATATACTCTTTTTCTTTTTCAACCCACTCCCCTCTTTGCAACAAATCAAATCCCGCCCTTAATTTCTTTTTTTTTCAGCCCCATTTTTCTCATTTTCTAGTGTTTTATTTTAAAAGTTGAAATTATTATTTGTGTTGGATTTAAAGAGAATGTATGATATTGATTAACGTAAAGGGTGATGGTGATATTGAAAATGTTGAAAACTCCATTGATAAGCTTGAGAGAACTAGAAGAACAACAAATAGGTATTATGAATTTGTGAAATTAATTCAAATTTGTGATTGTGGCTCGTAAGATTTGTGTTTATGAACTTCTAGTTGAAATTTCAAGTCAAATAAAGAAGAATTTAAATCCAACGAGCTCCCTTTACAAATTTGAATTAATTTCACAAATTCATAAGACCCATTTGTTATTCTTCAAACTTTTCAAGCTTATCAATGGAGTTTTCAACTTTTTCAATACCCACCATCACCTTTTACGTTAATGCATATCATACCTCCTTTTTGAATCTAACTAACACAAACAATAGTTTCAACTTTTAAAATTAAAAAAATACTGAGAATTTAAAAAAATGGAGCAGAAAAAATAAATTAATGACGGGTTTTGATTTGTTGCAAAGAGGAGAGTGAGTTGAAGAAGAAAAAAAGAGTGTATGACGGATGATTTCGAAGAAAAAAATGGATGTGGTGGTTGATTTTGTAAGAGAAGAAAGTTTAGGGTTAGGGGTGGGAAGAGTGTTGGAGAAGGAGAAATTGGGGTGAGACAGGCAGGCAAGAATGGGGTGGGAAGGGAGAGTGTTAATGAAGAAATAAGTTTTTCCATTAAAAAAATAATATTTGTAAATAAAATATAGTGTATTTACACGCTTGGAAGCAAGTGTATTCACACATTTTTCTAACTCAACAATATTTATGTTTCATAGATTTGGTCAATGGCTAAATGTGTTTCAAATATTGTGTTTTAATAAGTTTAAGGGTCCA